CCTTTGCAAAAAAGACTGAAGGTCAGCATTAGGTCGGTCTTCGGGCCCAGCCACAAAGGAGGTGGGTGCAATCCTGGCTGGAGGAGGAAGCTGGCCTATGAGAAGGAGCAATTTGTAGAACGTCAGAAAGCCGTGAAACTGAATGAGGAACCTTCCAGAGGTCAGCTTCGTTAGTAAATAGTTGAGTTCCTCCACTTGGAGGCAGGTGAAGCCACAGGATACACTTGGTGTCTTGTCTACAAGCATCATCTTCCTTGTTGCCCAAAAGGCTTTATACATTTTCAACATAGATGTGACTATCTCATGGAGAAGAATAAAACAAAACTCCTGAAAGGATGGAGCAACAGGAACTCTCATGGATTGGAGATGAGAGTACAGATTGGTTTGATCATTCTGGGAAAAGGAAAACATCTGCTAAGTTAAATATGTAAAACTTCATCATCTTGCAGTCCATTTTTAAAGATATACAGATTTGTGTCCTTGTGCACCAACAAATATTCATGAGAACATTCAGGGCAGTATTATCGATCAGTAACCAACAACTGGATACAACTTAAGTACTCATCAACAGTGATATGTATTATAAATAAACTTTGATATATTCATGTAATGAATTACTCCACAGCTTTGAAAATAGTGACCTAGAGCTACACACACCATCATAGATGAATCTCATAAACATTGTAGTGAGTGAAAGAAACCGTACATGAAGAAATTCATACTGTTTGATTTATTTACACAGCATTTTTAAAAACTCAAAGCCAAGCAATAGTATCCATGACCAGAATAGTGGTTGATTTTCTTTGAGGAAAAAATACTGAGACATAAGGGAGGTACCAGGGGCCTTTGTTTACCTGATATTCATTTTGTGATAATTCACTAAGCTGTATGTTTACTTTTTGTGTACTTTTTGGAATGTATGTTATTCACAAATTGTATTTCAGTGATCAAAACATTTTCTCGAAAGCATGTAAACCTTTGAAAATAAAAACACTGGGACTCAGAGAAATAGATTGCTTGTGGGTAGGACTACCTCCCACTCCAGCTGCCCCAGCTTTGCAGGAATATGTGTTGGTCCTTCATGGTTAAGTTCAAGAGCTACTGGCACAGGTAGTAGGAGGGGGTTAGAGATCACTGTGTCTGACCCAGGAGCTGGAAGGCAGGTGGGAGTTGACTGGGTTCCCCCTCCCAGCTTGGAGGCTAGGGATTTCATTGGGGACAGTTCCTAGAGAATTGTGCCAAATGTAAGCACTAGGTCAGTATTTGCTTGAAGAAGCTGAGGAATTAATGTCCAAGATAGAAGTCAGAGTGCAACGTCTGATTAGTGGCACCCAGTGGAGGAGGTGACTGGTGGGGCAGTAAGAAGGAGGAAGCAGCTGGAGCTATTCTACACCGAAGTCCAGGAGCTGCCTAGATAACAAAAGGGGGAGTTGAAAGTTGGGGAAGCGGCTAGTGGCTTTCTCACCCTAAGCTGCCAAGTTACAGCGTGAGGAGTCTAAGAATTCTGCACTTAAACCTAGGCTTGCAGGTGGTGAAGAAGGTGTGTGTGTTATTTATCAAGGCGGATGACAGGACACATTTTTACGGAGCAGTTTGTTTGCCTGATTTATAACTTGTAAATATTTGGACATATGGCTGGCTGGCCTGCATTTGTACTGGTGCCTTGGGGCCTGAGAATATTAGGGATGTGCCTGCCAGAGCTCCATGTCCCTCCTTTAGGAGAGGCTGCCTTGCTGGCAAAAGCACACGTTGGCCACTTCTCTAGCTTAGCGAGAGTCCAGTGGAACATATATTCTGAGATATCACTGCCAGTTACTTGCTGTCCCTCCTCCCTCACTGGGCACAAACTCCACACTGATGAGCACAACTTGTGATTTGTGATGGTTTGGACACATACGTCCAAAACACATGTTGGAGATACAGTGTCCAAATTTCTATGCTAATGGTATTTGGAGGTAGAGCCTCTGAGCAGTAGTTGGGGTTAGATGAGGTTAAGGGGGTGGGGCCCCCATGACGGGCATGGATGGCTTTATAAAAAGGGGAAGAGAGGCCTAATGTAGTATACTTGCTCAGTCTCACTGTGTGATGCTCTTCTGCCATGCTATGCTGCAGCAAAGAGCCCTCACCAGATGCCAGCACCATGGGACAGTCCAGCCTCCAGAACCATGAACTAAGTAAACCTTGATTCTTTATAAATTACCCAACTTGTGGTATTCAACTATAGCCACAGAAAATAGATTAAGACATGGTTCATTTGTGCCAATAAAAACGTTGAACAGGACAAGAGTAAGTCCTCAAACTTGTAGTAGTGTGTTAGAGATGGCCCTAAAATTGACATCAGCTCACTTGACACCAGCTCACTAATCCACATGCTTTGGAGGAGGTTGTGTAACCAACAACACAACCATTTAGCTGGTTCTGTCCTATCAATGAGGATGTAATGAAAAGTTCAAATTCTGCTATGATCAGTATACCTGGGTCCATGGCAGGGTGCTGGCCTCATCCTTGGGGTCCTGCCCATACTTGCCTGGCTTCTGCTGCTCATAGTCTCTGTCTTTTCTGTAGATGATCCTCCATCTTGCGCTGCAGTACTGGCTTGATGAGTGCAGTTGAACTCGAATACCTAGTGTTATAGTTGATGCATTGTGTTGACTGGAGGAGTCTAGAAGCTTAACTAAGTAACTCAGCAGTTCTACATCCAGGGGTGAAAAGGATCTTCCCTTACCACTCTAGGATGTTGTTCCTTGTGTCCACTTGAGAAGTTTAAAAGTTCAACTAAGTGATTCAGCAGGGGGCCAGGGTCCTTACTTTGTAAACATCCTCAGTTTGTGGAAGAGGAGAGCTTGGAGATGGTGTGGATGGAGAGCCAGAATACAATATAAGGGAGGAAAAGAGGCTTGTTTTCCCCCTGGTGCTCTTGCTGTCTTATGCTGCCTTAAAGTATTGCTCCTGTGCCATGCGCCACCCTGCACTGGAGCCAGCTGATTATGCATGGACTGAAACCTCCACAAACTGTGAGCTAAATAAACCTTTCCTTCCTTAATTTTGGGTGTCGCGTATTTTGTCCCAGCAACAACAGGAAAGTAACTAGACACCTAATAAACATAGAGGTGAACAGTAAAAAGGATAGTGAAACAAACTTCAAGGTGACCTCCAGTGTTTCTGATCTGATAGAAAAGGTGGCAATGACTTTGGGGAACCTAGGGGCAAGGATCAGCAAACTTGATCCATAAAATATCAAGTCACAAATATTTCGTGTCTTGTCCATCAGTCTCAGTTGCGACTACTGAACTCTGTTGGGAAACAGCCATTGTACAGTTACCAGCAACAAACCATACTGAAGCGCATGGACATGACTGTGTTCCAATAAAACTTTATTGACAAAGGTAGTTTGCATACCCGTGTTTTGAGGTATAAGTGCTCCTTGAAACTAAGCAAAGAAAGTTGAGAAATAAGTTACTTTTCTGAATGAGAGAAACAACAGTGACAACACTGTGTGCTTTGAGGTGAATCTCCTTGAATGGCTCTGCTTGGCAGCCCAGAGCCTGTCAGAAGAATCCATGTAAAACACTGCCCTCCTGTGCCTTCCCAGCCTTAGAACCTTCCAGACTCACATTCACTCTGAGTTCACCTTCTTTCTCTTGCCACTGTCGTATACACCAGGTTGCCCAGCTCTTCTCTGTCCTTCTACTGGCTGTGAAGAACCAGACTCTGATCCTTTCCTGCACTGCTGAGAAGACTCCAGTTGCTGCTTCCAAAAGCTTACTCGTTCTTCACAACAGCGTTCAAGGGTCTGTGCCTTGAATTTTTCCAGGCACACCTAGGTTGGGTTAATTTTCCCTCTTCCATGTTCCCAGGGAACTTTGTAGAAAACCACGCTTCATCAACCCAACTTCAGTGACCTAATTTATCTCTAATGGCTTAACCTTATCTTGTACAGTCTTGTTTTTTAATCTGCTCCTGCCTCACTGGGTTGTGAACTCTTTTCAAACACAGGCTGTGCCTTATTAATCCTTGTTTACTCCTGGGTCAGTACTGAATTTGGCCTGGAAAGGGACATGGAGCACATATTTGCACACTTGTTTAACTCACTGCAGGATCTAGTTGAACCAGGGCCACTGGGACTCTGAAATGAGTCACAGTTTAGATTGTCTGCTATTTTCATAAGACGTTTTCAGTGACTTAATAAGCAACTCTTCCTGACAAGGCACTTGGGAACTGTTCATAAATGATGAAATATTAAAATCAAATCAAGTTCAGAGGTAAATATATAAATCTCTCCTCCACCCACATCCAATGCTTCCTTCAAACCACAAGAAGGAATTGTTTCTATTGATACCACTATTGCACATTATTTTGCACAAGAATTTTCCTTTCAAAGCTATCTTCCAAAAATCTCATGCTCATATTGGATATGGGACTATGTTACATCTTTTTTTTTTTCTTTTAAGACTTCTGAGAGCTTATGGATTTGTGTTCCACTTAGAACACAGAGCGGTAATTTACTTGTGGAACCTCAGTGGCCCCCAAGTGTGGCTGCAGTTTTCCAAAGTCCCTCCTGGATGTCCTTCGTAGCATCAAATCCAGGCCAGATCAGGGCTCATGACATGGCCCAGACTGATTGTTATGGTGTAGATCTAAAATGTTCCCCAAAAGTCTCATGTGTTCAGAGATGGGGCTTCTGGATCATAGCAGTTCATCTGATTAATCCACTGGTAAGTGCCTAGCTGAATGTGGTATTAGAACAAGAGGCCTTGGTTGGGGCATGACCCAGGAGGGTGTATCTTCCTCCCCAGCTCATGCCTTCTCTCTCTGCTTCCCAGTTGCCATGGTTTGAACCCCTTTTCCTCTTCCGTGACTCTCTGCCACCGTGTCTGCCTTAGAACCAGCCAGCCATGGACCAAAACCGTGAGCCAACATAAACCTCTCCTCTTTTAAGTTGTGGATGTCCCAGCAACAGGAAAGCAACTAAAACAATGACCTCTCCTTTTTTTATTCAGAGTAAAAAGTTAATTGGTGTCTGAGTTGTGGAGTTGTTTGAACCCTGCCACACCATCAGGATTTCCACAGCGTTTACTTTCTGGATACTGTTCTTTCTGCAAATGAATGAATGGAACCAAGAGGACAAGCACACCCGGGGGTGGGGACAATGTACAATTCTGCCTTGTCCACATGGTAAGTGGGAAACTATGTCCTCTTATCCTGCCATTGATCCTAGCTGTGGACTTGTGGGGTGGGGGCCAGGGGCAGTGGGATCACCTTTTTATACCTTGCACACAGGAACCTTACAGACCCAGAGGAAGTTGCAACAAACATTTCAGAGGCTCCTCATGCCCATGACCCCAGTGAACCCACACTTCCTCTAGAACTTTGCATGGTTCGTTTCTCCCAGGATCGCTTGGGGAAGAATTAGGCCTAGGAGACTCTTCTCAGTTGGCAAGGTAGATTCCATCCTGTCCCAATTAGGCATCCTCTTCTCTTCCTGTTCAGCTCAATATGTCCCTTGCCAGCCTCATCTGCTCATCCCAAACCTGCCTCATCTGCTGTTTCCTGCAGGGCTCACAGTGACTTCCCCTGGAGTAGGGAGGCCACACCAATACAAGGAAGAGGGAAGGAGAATGCTAGAAATTAGTTTCTTTTAAGCTTGTCTGATCTCCTCTGAGCCCTGGGATGGGCAGGGCATAAATAGATAACCAAAGACTCTTACTTGTCTGGGTAGGAATTATGCAGTTGGAGGATGTGTCTTCCTTTGTTTTTCTGAAACTTTGCTGGACGGAAACTCTCCTTGTGTTCTCAGGTGTATTGAGCATTTTCTCCCCACTTTTGCTTGGAAATTTTCATACTGTTTAAGTCGTCAGCCTCTGAAACGAATCAGATAATGCTGTGTAAGTTAATATACACACTGGGGTTTTAAAATCATATCGTTTGTAAGTCTTTGTAGTGTGTGTGTATGAGATATCACAGAATGACATAGCCGAAATAACTGAGGCTGCAGTGTTGCTCAGTGGTACAATGTGGCCTTGGGTTCAAATTCAATCCTTAGCATGCGTACACACACACACACACACACACACACACACACACACACACAAACCTACAAAACAACAACAACAAAACCTTGTTTCCTTCTTGAGGATCCAGTGAACCTAGGAACCCTTGCCCCTCTTCATCCCAGAGCTTCAAAGATGAGACAGTCCTCTGCCTCTACCCCCATCTGAGGGCATGAACTCCATCTCCCATCAACATAGGAGATAATTCTTTGCTGAGTCTATAATTCCCATTCCCCAAGGCTTTATTTTGTTTTTTTGTTTTTTGTTTTTTTGTTTTATTTTCTGGTACCAGGAATCGAACTCATGACCTTGCGCTTGCCAGGCAGGCACTGTGCCGCTGAGCTAAATCCCCAGCACCCCTCCCCCCGCACACACACAAGGCTTTAGTGCCATTGCCACGACTCCCAGCTCTGGCTGCACCCTGAGCTCAGACCTTTCCTCCAGCTTCCTGCTGGGCGTGGCCACATACTCACCCCCAAAGAACCTGCAGGTCAGCTTGTATGAGTGCAGCATTCCCTCTGTCACCCCTTAGCCCAGCAGACCTGCTCTTCCTCCAGCATTTCCTGCAGTATTATAAATGTTTCCAATCATCCAAGTGAAAAATCAGCTACCCTCACCAGGAATTTTCTTCTGCCAGGAAAACAAGTCTTAATCTCTAGGCCCATGGCAATTGGGTTAGCCAGGGAAGTCTCACTGTGTATGGAGGGGGCAGTGGGGTAATGTGCCTCCTTCCTGCTGGTCTCCACACCTGGGCAGCTGGATCTGATTCTTTTCCTCTCCTCACGGCTTGGTTTGGCCCTTTCTGTCTTTCCTGGGCCTCAGCAAACAGAAGTGCAGATCAGAGTGCAGGGCCCAGGAGCAGCATACCTTGTTCAAGTCCTACCTGCCTGCATCTTCTTTCTGTGACCTGTCACACTATTCAGTCTTTCTGTACCTCAGTTTCCCCAGCTTTAAATAAGAACAATGCCTATGGGCATTTGGAAGAATAGGTTGGCAAGATTTTCCTATAAAGGATCAGATAGTAAATATTTCTGGTTTGAGGGGTTAAGAAGCAAAACAGAGGTGATCATGTAGGTCCTTTGAAAGCTAAAGAACAAATAAATATCCACAAAATTTTTACTGACAAAATTTATCACAATGATATTTAGAGCTCACAAAAGCATTTGAAAACAAAATGGCTGCTCGGGCGACGAAGGTGAGAGAAATAGGGAGATATTTATGAGACGATACCAATTTTCACTGGTAAGATGAGAAGTTCTGGGGGCCTAACATATGGCATGGTGACCATAGTTAATAATCCTGTATCTTAGATTTGAAGTTAACTAACAGAGTAGATCTTAAATGTCCTCACCTCACTGCTACATGCACAGAAAGGTGACTGCGTGATGTGGTGTATTAACTTGATTGTGGTAATCATTCTGCAGTGTATATGGAAATCAAATCATTATATCGCACCTTGAATATATAAAATTTTAATCTGCCAATTGCATTTCAATAGAGCCAGAAAAAGTAATAACAATTGAGGATAATTTTTTGTAATATACATCTGCTAATGAGAACAACAGAATTCTCTTTGTGGAGGAGGGTAACATTTTGCTCAGTGAGAATTTAGCGTTCCCTCTCCTCAAAATCAGTTGCAAATGCTCATCTCTAGATCATGCTTAGCTCATCAGTTGTACAGAAAAAGGCAGAGGACTGTGTTTGGCTCACGGGCCATACTTTGTCCACGCTAAGAAGTAAAAGAGCGCCAAGTGCTCAGCACATTAGGAGGACTCAGAGGGCTTCCCCACTTTACCGCTGGCTTCAGCCATAGCAATCCTTAGGATTTCTTTGAACTATCTCATCTCCCTGAGCTTTTGACCCCATGCGGTGCCCTCAAGCCTCCACCACTGCCCCTCCTCCACCTCTCCTTCCACACTTTCCCATGTGCTGTGGTTGGAATATGTCCCTCAAAGTTCAAGCATTTGAAACTTAATTTCCAGTGCAATCAAGGGGTGGGACCTTGAAAAGGTGACAAAGTCAGGAAGGCACTGCCTGCATGAGTGGATGTGGTTACTGTGGGAGTGGGTTCGCTATCACAGACGTGGCTCTCTAATAAGAAAAAGATCAGTCCAGCTCCCTTCTCAGCTCTCTTTCTCAAGTCTCTGTGTTCTCTTGCCCATGTGATCCCTCCCACTATGAGATGGCCTTACAAGGTGCAGTCCCTCAATCTTAGGCTTCCTACCCTCCAGCTATAAATTACCCACTCTGGTATTCTGTTATAACAGCAGAGAATGGATGAAGACAGAAATTGCTACCAGGAAATGGGGCTATTGCTAAATGTGGAAAGGGAGGTAAAGGGTAAAAGGTGGAAGAATTTGGAGGCGCAGGCTAGGAAAGCCTACATTGCTATGCATGAAGTGTTAAGGGCAATTCTGCTGAGGGCTCGGAAGGCAAGAGCTGTATGGAGAGCTCACATCTTCTTGGGGATTATGAAGTAGCCATGATCAGAATGTTGGTAGAAATATGGACAGTAAAGGCCAATCTGATGCAGTCTCTAATGGAACCCAGTACAAGGAATTGGAAACTGGAATAAAGCCATCCTGTTACACAATTGTAAAGAGCTTGACAGGACTATGTCTGTGCTCCAAGGCTTTGTGGGGTGGTGAACTTAAGAGTGATGAACAAGAATCTGGCAGAAGAAACATCTAGGCAGCAAAGCATTCAAGGTGTAGCCTGGCTTTTTTTGGGCCATATCCAGTAAAATGAGAGAAGAGAGGAATGGTGTAAAGATGGGTTTTATATAAAAAAAAAAATGGGTTTTGTAATTAAAATGGAAGCAGAACGTAATGATTTGGAAAACTCTCAGCCTGGCCATGTAAAGAATTTTAAAATGCACCGAGAGAGAATATGGAGGGTGTGGCCAAGTGCCTGCTTGCTAAAGAGATTGATAAGGGTGGAAGGGAGCCAAGTTTTACTCATCAAAACAATAAGGAGATGCAGCTGAAGTCATTTCAGGGATCTTCAAGGCAAACCAGGATCTCCGTGACATTAGCATCATGGCCCTGTTCCATCTCGGGACTCTGTTGCCTGAATTCCAGTGCAGCAGCCCTAGGCTCTCCCAGCTATGGTACGGGTGGGCCCAGGTGTGGCTCTGTCTGTCTGTCTGGGAGATATAAGCTGTCAACCTTGGTGGCCTCTACATGGTGACAGTGCTATGGGACCAGAGAATGAAAAGGCTGTGGCTCATGATGGTCTTTACTTAGATTTCAAAGCAGGTTACAGACAGACTGGGATCCTGACAGAGAACGTTGCAGGACAGAGAGCCCCCTCCAGGGCAATGCCCATCAGAGCCATAGGAGTGAAATCCCTGCAGAGCACCCAGGAAGTTCCTATGGAGCAGCCACGCCTGTAGAGTCACTGGGAATGCAACTGTAGCTGGAAAAGCTGCAGGTACACGATGCCAGCTTCCCAGAGCTACTGCATGGCCAAAAGTCCTGAGAAGCCATGGGAGAAGGCTGCCTGAAGCTGTCCTGCCCAGCCCTCACCCCAGTTGCCAAGACTGCAGCATGGAGTCCAAGGTGACTGTCCGCCAGCTTTAAGACTTAATGTGGTTTTCTCTGTTGGGTTTTGTTCTTACTTGAGACTCACTACTCTATTGTTCTTGTTTAGTCCTCCCTTTTGGAATAGAAATGTCTATCCTATGCCAACAGCACAGGTATATTTGGGAAGTATGTATTTCACAGGCTGTGGAAGAAAAATTTGTGAATCATGCCTTGAGTTTCTCCCGTATGTGATTCGGATGAGACTCTGGACTTTGAACCTGGGTTGGTGGAGGAATAAGTTAAGATGTTAGGATTATTGGGATGGAAGGATAGAGTTTTGTACATGAGAAAATCATAAATCTTAGGTGGCAGAGAGGAATGCTGTGGATTGGGTGCATCTCCCAAAGTTCACGTGCTGGAAACTTAATCCCTGACGCCGCATGGGTGAGAGGCAGAACCTTTAAGAGGTGATTAGGCCTGGGGGGCCATGCCTTCATGAGGGGGTTAATGCTGTTATCAGAGCAGTGGGATAATTATCATGGGAATGGATTCCTGATAAAAGCATGCATCTGGTCTCTTCCCTGCTGTCTTTGTCTTGCATGTGCTGTCTTCTGCCATGTTACCATGTAGTAAGAAGGACCTCTCCAGATGCAGCCATTGATCTTGGACTTGTCAGTCTCCAGAACTGTGAGCCAAATAAACTTCTATTGCTTATAAACTTCCCAATCTCCAACGCTCTGTTACAGCGCACAAGACAAGACTAAGACACCATCCTTGAGGGACTTGCTTACTTTTTCCTCAAAGAACTGTTTTTTGGTTTGGTTTGTTTGTTTGTTTGTTTGTTGTCTTTTTGAGACAGGGTCTTACTCTGCAGCTCAGGTTGGCCTTGAGCTCACTTTGTAGCCCAGGATGGTCTTGAACTCAGAATGATCCTCCTGCCTCAGCCTCCCATGAGTGCTGGGATCACAGGCGTGCGCCACCATGCCTGGCCTTAGGAACTGTTGAGTGTGACCCTTAAGAGAGCGTAGGGTCTCCTCCTGCTCCTCTAGTGTTTGGTTGTTTATTTTTCTTTCCCTTTATACTGTGAATAGAAGCTATGCATTGTGCATAACCTCTCCAACCTTGTTCCTGATTATGTTATGTACTCAATAAACACTGGTTAAATAAATGAATGGACCTACTCTCCAGTGGAAGACTGGACAGAAACCCTCCTTGATTCCCCCAGTTCCCAGGGAGCTCTTTACTCTTTGAGTAACTAAAGCATTTGGCCCTCATTGATTTTCTGAGAGGAGAAACATTATAGAATGATGACTAAGTGCCTTGGCTCTGGGCACAAATCCCAGCTCCACTACTTCCTGGCTTTGGGCTTTGTATAAATTACTTAACTTCTTCAAGCCTCTGCTTCTTTTTTGGGAACACAGGGATGTCTTCATCTGTCTTCTGCTGCTGTAACAGAATCCCACAGACTGGGAAAGTTATTTACAACAGAAGTTCATTTGGCTCGCAGTTCTGAAGCCTGGGAAGTCTGAGATCAAGGGGCCAAATCTATCGAGGGCTTTCTTGTTGCACCATAATACAGTGAAGGAATCACAAGGTGTTGTGTGTGTCAGGGGGCAAATTCCTTCCTTTTATAACTAACTCACTTCTGTGATAACTAGTTCGGTCCTGTAATAGTGGAATTGATTTGTCCACAATGACAGAACCTTCGTGGCCTACTCATCAGTTAGAGGCTTCATTGTTACACTGACTATTAACTTTCCCCACAAGTGTTGGGGGGTGTATTAATCAGCTTTATGTTGCTGTCACAAAATACCAGAGAGTAACAATGTAAAGGAGGAAAGCTTTGGTTTGACTCATGGGGGTGAGGAAAAAAGATCATGGTGGAAGCACATGGTAGATGAAAGCTGCCAGGATACAAGGAAGGGGCCAGAGACAAGGCACAGCTCCCAGCAGGCAGTGACACATGGCTGTCATCCCAGTGCTAAGGGAGGCTGAGGTAGGAGGATCGCAAGTTTGAGTCCTGTCTGGGCAACTTAGCAAGATCCTGTCTCAAAGGTAAAAAAATTTTAAAAGGGCTGGGGGTGTAGCTTAGTGGTAGATGCTCCTTAGTGCTACTGGCCCAATCTTAAGTACTGCCCCTGCCAAAGGAAAACAAGAAAGAAATAATACCCCAGGCCACCATGCCCCCATGACCCACCCCCTCCACCTGGGCCCCAGCTCCAGTCTCCATTACCTTCCAACAATGGCATCGAGTTATGAAGCCATTGATGAATTACCCCATGGATGAGGTCAGAGCCCCAAGAGCCAATCACCTTCCACAGACCCCACTTCTGAACACATGACTTTGGGGATACATTTTAGATCTAAGTCATAAAAGAGGGACTTTGGATCCATAGCAGGGGACAGTGATGATACCATCTCCTCTGCTGTTTGCAAATTAGAAGACGGAAAGCACCCAACATACTTAGCACTGTGGGTGCTCTAGAAAGGTCTGCTACTTTTCCCACATATATTGAGCTGTGTGTTAAGCTCTTTCATTCATTTTACCCTCACAATTATGCTATGAGGTAGTTAGTATTGTTCTTCCCATCTTACAGAAGAGAGAACTGAGGCGCAGAGAGGGCCAGGATATAAAGTTAGGCCACCTGGGTCCCAAGGGGCACTGTTGGTGAGTACCTTTCTCTGAACAGCGATGCATCCTTTCCACAGGACCGCAGCCCTTCCCAAGCAGGGAATGTGTTGCAGAAGCCTGCTACCCTTCCTAGCTGCCAGCGTAGCACTCTGCCATAGTGGCATGCCACATACCTCTTCTTCACACATTTTCTGGCCAGGACTGACCACCTATGAGCACCTGTGTGTCTTAGCAAAGGGACAGAAATGGAAGCAGAAAAGAGAGAGAGGTAAGGAGAGTGCAGGAGGGCATTGGGAGACTGTCTTCTGCTTAGAAGGCGACAGCAGCATGAGCGTCGACCTCTTTCTATCCCCTGCTGCCCCGTGGTGCACAGGGCCATCATCACCACCACCAAGTGGCTCAGAGGGCACTGCCCACACAGCTGACTCGACTGATTGTAACTTGATTGTCCCTCTTAATCAAAGTGATGTCATCCTCTGATTTCAGAAAGTGCAGGATAGCAGAATTAATGATGGTTCAAGTGGGCTTCTAATGGCTGTGGGCTGCTGGGGGCTGCAGGCTGCCTGGGGGCTGCGGGCTGCTGAGCTGCTGCAGCTCAGCTGTGTGCACCAGGATTTCTTCGCTAACAAGGGTGCCATAAGTCTTAATTACCCAGAACCAAGGTCTCACCTTGCCGAACGTCCCCCTGGGAGCTCCCAGTGAAGTCAGTGGGAGCTTTGCCTGCAGTTCAGCCCCGTGAAAACTTGCCTGCAAATGTTTGCAAATTACCTTGAGTGCCTCTGAAGGGAACAGGAGGGAATTATTTATTTTTAGCATGCTGGCATAGCCCCCTCCCTGCCTTGCCTGTCACATACCTCACGGTGACTCAAATCCCACTCCCTTTGCCTCTGATTAATTCTGCACTGTGGACCTCTTTCCTTCATAGTCGATGGAGACACCTTGTAGGTCCTGCCCCCAGCCAAGCTGCTGGGAATGTCCTGTTGCTCCCGCCTCTGATTTAGCTGCTCCATCTAGAAAGCCTAATGCATTTTCCATTAGAGGGACTGATTTGTTCTTCCGTTTCTGACAACAGAAAGCAATCTCCCCCATGCTAGGGATGTCAAGAGCCCCCTAAGCTGCTCTTTCCCTCCAGAAGTAGCTGATAGCCGTGGGTCCAATGGGGCTCCTGCACCCATCCTCTACTTTGTCACCTCCTAACCGCCCACAGCTGCTCCCTTCTCCTGTGATTTGCCCTGGAGAAAAGCGTTGCTCACCTGGAAATGCCTGAAAGGGGTGCCTTCCCCCTGGGGCCAGCCCACAGACACGCCTGCCTGCTAAGGGGGACCATCTGTGGGCCAGGCTGAGCTAGACCTCATCTCAGCCTGCCCTGATTGAGTTTTCCTCTCACCCTGACTAGTCTCACCCAAAAGCACCTCCTCAAGGATCTGCTGGCCGAGAGGCCCCTTCTAAGCTCTGCATCTTGGCAACCCAACCAAAGGTGCCGACCTGCACATCCATGGCGCGCAGAATCGACTTTTCAAACTGCAGCTGTTCATGACTTCAGGCTCCAGAGCTGGGCCTTAGTCCTCCTGCTGCTGTTTCCCCTCCCAGCCTTGCCTCCCATCCTACCTGCTGCCTCAGCTGAGAGACCACATCCTCCAGAGGTACTCTCCCGCTGGCTGGACGCCACCTCGGACCCTCCGTACCGACCCTACTACCAATCCTATCGTGCCAAAAGCGCCGGCTTGCTTGTCTTCCCCCCCAAGGGCTGCAAACTCTTCTGGCATTCTTACGGCCCACCCTGCATTTGGTACATCTGAGACCTTCAATAATTATCTGTTGATTGATGAAATCGAACCGATGAATAATTGAACTAGATACTTCATAAATGTTTCATAACAACATCCAAATTCCAACTCCAATTTAATATTATATCAATATTTGCCTCCTTGTGAGTTATCTAAAGCTCTACTAAATAGGAAAATTCACCGAGAATATATTGAAATAATTAAGCGTTTCTCACACAGACATATATGAGGTTGATTAGAGTGTCTAGTACAATCGATGTACAAATGGACCCTGGGGTTAAAGGTGTGCATTTCACTTGGACCCTCGGCCCTGCAATCAAAGCCTCTCCAGGCCCCACTGGCCAGCCTCCGACTTGGAGCAATCCTCTGCTGAATCTTAAATCCCCTTGCCTTCCCCGTTCACATTCCCAAGAACAACAAAACAAACAGAAAAAAACCGCGCAAGTCCAAGTGCCAGAATAGCTCTGCTAACCTGAGGAAGAAACCCTTGAACATCAATGAACCGTGCTCAAAATCTGCCATTTCACTGCTCACTTTTCAGAAAAGCATCACCCTGCGAAGAAGTTGCTTTTGAATGCAAACTTCATGATTGCCAGAATCATCTAACGTTAGGACTTGCCTGCTTCTCACTTCTGAACTGGGTGTCTCAGCCAGTAGAGGAGCGTTAATTCTCCGCGTGACTACAGACGGGAACGCAAGCAGCATTAACAAATTACCGCTGATGGATATGCAAATGGGGCAAGGACAAATATTAAAACAGCCCTATCTCACTCTGCCATTCCCTTGTCTTGTCTGAAATTCATAAAAATAATATAATCCCCCTGGAATGCTTAGCAATGCATATAGGGCGACACTCTTGAGGAAGCTAATAATTATCCCTTGTTAGCAAGATCAACTAACTGCAGTCTTTCACTGCAGGGACAGAAAAATATTGTGACTTGCTATGCTAAGTGAAACACAGTAGCGGGATAAATTAGAACATTTAAACTAACAATAACAAAGACATACAGCTATAGCTCCCTTCTACATATAATTGATAAAATTAACGGAAGATAGACACGGTGGTAATAGAAGACTGCATTATGAATTTTTGATCGAGACACAAAGGGACAAACATTCTTCCATTGCTATGTTGTTATAGCTGATATTTATTAGACACCCACTGTGTCTAGTGTGACTCTTATCAGAAACAAGGATAATAATAAATTACTACCTGTCAGCCACATATACAGTAGCTTCATTATGTGACTGGGCACCGCTCTTATTAAGTCTCTGGAATCTATTAAAAGTCTCATTTTGAAACAATGAACCAAAAGGAATAAATTTATGAAGCGTAGAACCCCAGTATTAATCCAAAGACTCAGCCTTGGACAGAAAAAAAAAATCTTAAGAAAAAAAATTAATTTCTGCCAAGGAAAATCTAAGAACATAAGTTAGCAGGCCCTACCAGATGCCTCTGGCGGTGCTGTAACAGAAATGAGTCAAATATCTAATTCCACAGGAAAAAATTTATAGACTAGTCTTTGAATCGGGCAGAATCCAAACACCTTCCCTGCCAGGTTCTCAATCAAATGCGTAATAAACAGCAACGTCCTTGCACATCCCAGATGCCCTCTTATATCCAGATTTGAGCAGTAGCGTGCTCATTGCCTCTCGTGGTGTATCCAGGCATAACTCACATGCTCCATTCACTAGTGTGATCTGGGTAGTAGGTGTTGTAGCTTGTTTGCAAAGCTGGCCAGACTAACCTTCCCATTAGGACTGCGCTGGGACTCTGCACTGCCTCTTGTTGAGTGGCAGAATCCAGTCTTTTCTGCCGCAAATCTAGGAAGGCTTTGCAACCCCTTTAAACACAAGAATATCTCAGAAGTGATGTTTTGGCAACTTTCCAGCCCAGGCCTTAAAAGGCGTTGCAGCATCCACTCCGGCTTTGTTACAACACAGCACCACTAGTCAGGACACCTCTCACCTGGAGAAGACGCCCAGCCAACAGCCAGCACAACCGCCATGTTGGGCCATAGCCACCACTATGTCTTAGGTGATAGATAGTTGCTGCTTAGGTGGCTCCAGAAACAACCAAGCAGAAGAACCACACGCTTGAGCCCAGTGGAAGTTGCTGATCCTCAGAACCAAGAGCAAATAATTCTGATGTGAATCGCTCAAGTTTGCAGTAGTTTGTCACATGGCAGTCAGGAAGGGGAAAATGAACAGGGTTATTGATGCTGTAGATTCTGTCCAGTGCTTTAAGAGTGTGATTCTGCTCTAACCCCTGCTATGGAACACCAGCCTCCAGGACTGTGTTAAATGCACAAAGGTAAGAAATTTCTTCTCACTTCTTCCCCATGGTCTCTTAAAGTAATTCACACCAAGACTGAACTGTTCCCAACTTCCTTTGATAATAAAAATCAGAGACTCAGAAATGTTTGTTCGGTGGTAGACTGAGAGTTTGTTGAGCATGAGATGTTTTTAAAGGCAGCTTCTGGCTTCCTCCTCTGCCCAGATGAAGGGTTGCCCTCCCGGCCCAGCTGTAGCACCATTGCAGGCCCTGGGACCTGCATGATTGGGGCCACTGGCTGCTCTACTATTTGGGGATCTCCAGAGAAACAGAACCTATGGGATGTACACAGTAACTCTTTGATATCCAGGTGTTGATTCTGGGACCTCCCGAGGAATATAAAAACTTGCATATGCCCAAGTTCTGTATATAAGATGACATAGTATTTTCATATAACCTATGCATACCCTCCTTTATACTTTAAATCATCTCTAAGTTGCTCATACTACTCAGTACAATGTAAATGCTATGTAAATCAGTGCTATATTATATTATTTATGGAATGATGAAAAGAGAAGTCTGTACATGTTCATTGCAGACATCCTTTTTTCCTGCTATTTTAAAAATTTATTTGAGACAGGGACTTGCTAAGTGGCCCAGGCTGGCCTGGAAGTTGTGATCCTCCAGCAGCAGCCTCTACAGGAACTGGGATTATAGGTATGCACCACTATGAATAACTTTTCTGAGTATTTCTGATCTGTAGTCAGAAAGTGAGTGCTGAACCCAAAGATAGGAGAGTTGACTATAAATCATCTGCAAGGTAGGCTGGAAGGGTGGAGGTACAGGTGGGGGTTTTGGTTCCAGGTCAAAGGCAATCTGTGGGCAGAACTACTTTTTCTAAGAAGTTCACCCGTTTTCCATTAAGACCTTCCACCGGTTGGATGAAGCCTGCCTACACTATAGAGAATCATCCGCTTTAACTTGTAATCTACTGTTTTATATATTAATCTCATTTAAAAATAACTTCACTGAGACACCTGGAATAATATGCGACCTAATTTTGAGTACTGTTGCCTAGCCAAGTCGACATGTAAAGGTAACCATGACAGGTGGTACTGATTTGAATTGTGCCTGCCCCATCTCCCCTTAAAAAGATGCTGGGATTCTAGCCCCTAATGTCTCAGAATGTGATTTCATTTGGAGACAGGCTCTTTACAGAGGAGATCAAGTTAAATGAAGTTATTGTGGGTGGATCCTAATGCAGCATGACTGGTGTCTGATACACAGGGGCTTCTGTATCAGGACAGACGCATAGGAGGCAGGTTCTGGGAAGACACACAGGGAGGTGACCAAGGGGTGAGAGTGATGACCAAGAAACCCCGGACCTTCCAGGAGGCAAGGAAGGATGCACCCTGAGCTGGCAGGCACCGTGAGGCCTTGCCACACCTTCATGTCAGACTTCCAGCCTTCAAACTGTGGGACACTGGTCTGTTTCAAGTCACTCAGCTTCGGGAACTCCGTCATGCCAACTCTAGGGACTAATGTGGACACATAGCTGGGCAGCTTGTTTACAGATTTTGAGGGAGACCCCAGGCAGCTGTCCCTGGGTGGGAGTGGGGGGCTGCACGAAGCCACACCACAGGCCCCTCACAGCCCTGGGAGACAGGCCGGAGGGAGTGTGGAGAGCTTCTGTTTCCTCCAAAGAAGCAAAGCTGTTCCTTGGAGTTCTGGGGTGCCAGCTAAGGTGAAAGTTTTGGGGTTCTTGGCTGTGAACCAAGACAGGAATCTCAGCCCGAGGATCTGTGGAAAGGACTGGACAATGCCCAGCATGTGGCTGCAGGTCCTGAACCGCCTGGTACACACTGTCCCTGTGATGCAGAGTCTGCACGCCAACCAGGCAGGGTCACATTGAGCTCCCAAAGAGGACACCGTCATGGGTGGAGCCCACACACGGGTCATTTCTGGTTCTGCCAGGTGCCAGTTAAAAATAACGGCTGCCTTTTAACTGAACGCTAAGCACTTCCTATACATTCTATCCTGGACTCCTTCTAGCGTCTCATTTTACAGAAGAAGACTGACACTTGGAGAGGCTAACTGACCTCCCCAAAGCCACACCGCCAGCCACTCTAATCCCCGCAGTCTGATCACTGAGCCCTAGAGCCCAACTTTCTCACGGTGGTACCTGTAAAAGCAAACTAGGGACACAGTGACCCAGATTCAACCCTTACACTTAATCAAGCCAAGCAGCAGGCCCAAAGCACCCACTCTGCTAGAAGTTATTAAAACAGCAAGATTGAGAGCTGCCCTTGACATGTGGATGGTGTTGTTTGACAAGAGGAGCCCCTCTGGGGATAATGATGGCAGGCGTTGCCCCCTCCCTTGGGAGCCTGGAAAGTTTAAGTTTGCCCACAGGGAAAGCTTTCGCTACCAGGGACTTCACCGTTCTTAATGAGCTGGTTTGTGCACCAAGCACATGGGCAGGTGAGTGCATTTTATTCGGAGCATTTTTCGGGCACCGAAAGAGTGGAGCACTAAAGGAACCGGGGCCATTGCTTAGAGCAATGGGCAACAGGTCCAAGTCGCAGCTAATCACTTCCTGAGGCAAAGCACTGATTAACCCCGAGCTAATCCCCCTCCCTCGCACCACCTTCTGAAACTGAGTTGGCTAATGCCTCAAAGGCTGGGGACCCAGGGCGGGTCAGGTAACAGCCCTGTCAGAGGCTGCAGCCAAAGGCTGCGCCAGCCTTCACAGTGCTATTAAGACAGTACATCAAGAAATGGCTCCCACAGAATCACAGAGGAGGAATCCAGAGGTGCGTATCCTGGAAACGGAGCTGCCTTGGAATGTAAAGAAAGGGTAGTACCCTGGTGTTAGTGCCCTTCTGCCTCTGACCACTGGCCTGGCCAAACATGCAGGCTAACAGTAGGCCTGGGTGTGATCCCAGGGGATAGCTGGGGTCACAGAGGGTGGGTTCTAGTGCCATGCATGCCAGGGACTTGCAACTTCACACCCTGTGACAGAGAGGACCCCATGTATCAGGTCTGCCAGGTGGGGAGAGCAGATGCTGGCTGGAGGCTGACGCCGTCCTGGCCAGATGCACCCTTAGCTGAGATCTGAACACGCTTGGGCTCGGGGGTGAGGGGAGCATGCCTGGGTGGCTGCATTAGTTTCTTCAGGCTGCTCAGAACAACAGAAGTGCATTGTGTCTCCCAGCTCTGCGGGCTAGAAGTCTGAGAGCAAGCTGTGGGCATGGCTGCCTCCTTCTGAGCTCTCCTAGAAGCATTTCCCACAGACCTGTCTCCTAGCTTCCGGTGAAGTCCAGTGAGCCTGTACACAGTTGCTCCCATCTCTGCCCCATCTCACACGACATTCAAACAGTGTGCCTGGGTGTGTGCCTTTCCCTCTTATTTAATCCGGATGCTAGGGGTTAGGCCTTTTTATGCTTGGTTTTTGAGACAATATCTTACTGAGTATTCCAGGCTTGCCTTGAATTCACTATGTA